CTTCCAAAGTATGATTGACCGTGGAGATTTTGAATAAGATAGTTATTCGGGAAGTCAAAACATGCAAAGTGAAAGACAAGAATAATACTAATCCTATATGGTCCCAACAACTACTGAGAGTAAATAAAACACCTTTTATTTAAACACCATATTGATTACTTATTATTCGATGTGTAATGTTTCGAATAATCAACTTTATACTTGAATCAAAGCAATAGTCATGCCATGCTCCAAGCATGCACACTATGTTTGTTCAAACAATAGTTATGCCATACTCCAAGTATGCACACTATGTTTGTCCATGATCCTTACTTTGTGGATTAGATCAACTGAACATAATTCTAATGATTCTCATTTCACAATCTCAAATCCTTATCGTAAATGTAAGAATTCCAAATTCCTGCCATTTACCGAAATCTGTTAGATTCTAAACTTATATGCATTGATCATCTTGTAATGACTATGCACAAAAGTCACAAAGACTTGGCAACAGACATTTACAAAGTATTCCAATGGAGAGCAATTCCATGGAAACGAAGTCTCAAATTCAAAGTACATTCCTTTGAACATCCTTCTTGCATTAAGTTTTCTAATCTTACACATATTTAATGAATAACTTCCACCTATGGAAACATTTCCACATTCCCATTTTGACTATCACTTCTAAACAAGAGTTGGCTCCTTTTAGAATATGTCAATATGGTCCTTCTAAAATTAATACTATACTTCCAATTGTCCATGAGCAACTAATATTTGGTAAACCTTAGATTGTCCTCAACAATTGCTTAATCATTTTAGTCATATCCAATTCTAGACCTTTTCCCCTCTTAATACCCTAGGCATTTGGAAAATTTAGAAAGGATAAATATTATAACACATGTAATTGATCCTATATCCGAAGCATATGGTACACGATTCATGATGTCTCACATAAAGACATGATCCTAGACCAGTCTTTTGCTACAATATTTTTTATTTGCCATGTTTTCATTATTCAACTATGAAGGGATGCCGTAATCATGATCGAATTTTGAGAACGCAATAGATATGGAATTTCCTTATGTTGAACCATTCCAACATAAAATTCATATATATATATATATATATATATATATATATATATATATATATATATATATATATATATATATATCCTTGACTAAAGATGATTAAAATCTCAATCTAAACTTTTAGAATTGAAATGAAGTATAGTTTCCTCTCCCTTAATTATAGCAAAACAACTTTTCTCAATTGAAACTTTTGTTTTCTATAATTAACATTTCTAACTTGCAACACTTATCATAATTGATTATGCTCCCACTAACACAATAATTACTAGCATAACAATTATGCTCCCACTAGCTTTGACACGTACTCAAAAATTAGCTAGACTTCAAGAAATCAATACCTTGTTGAATTTATTACCAAAGTTCAGATTTATGATACTAGATGCTTTGATAAGAGTTTATCAAAATCATACACCTTTCCTTAGATAGCTCACATATGTGTCTAAACAATTTTTAGAACTATGAAAAGGGATGTCGTAATCATAATCTCAATTGTTTAGACCTTTGCCATTTCTCAGAAGTCCATGTTAGTTGCCGGTTAACCACACATGCTCCACTAACGACTTTGAGAATGCAAATATCACAATTGCTATCTACTTAAAATCTATTTGGCGAAAGCATTTTCTCACCATTATTTTCATGAATAGGAGAGAAACCGAAAGCATTTTCTCACCATTGTTTTCATGAATAAGAGAGAAACCGAAAGCATTTTCTCACCATTATTTTCATGAATAGGAGAGAAACCTTATGACACTTAGATTTTATGGTGTATGTGTTCCTATCCATGTAAATTTGTCATAACCACAAGAGGAGGTTAGTGACAAATCCAAACTCATATGGACTGAACTTGTTCAATCTTGAATTCTTACCACCTGACAGCACAAGGGTCTACCATTGCCTCCAAGTAGTTATGCAAACAATTAAGAACTCATAGAGCTCACATGCATAGTCAACTTTAACTGGAATGGGCACAGAAACGAGAATACATCAACACAATAGGTTACAAACCTCAAATCGTGTGTTAGTGATAAACAACAAGTTTTATTATTGATTGGTTCTTTAAACTTTTTAAGATCTTTAAGACTCCCACCGACCTCTTGACATATAAGATTCTCTTTGTCAAGAACCATTCATTGACAAAACAAATATTTAAGAGTTAGTGTGGATTCTTATCAAGAAAAACACTTCACACAATTGGTCTTAGTTGGTCTTTGTTTTATCCAAAACATCACAACCTACCAATTTCAAATGTAAAAGAGTAAGAAAATATTTTACTCTACATTTGATAGGTTTTATAAATCTTTTAAGATTATGCCACTCAAGTTATAATCTTGGAGTATGAATCTAAGACTTGTTTTGGAACAAAGTATGACTCATCTTCTTGATTTAACTATTTCAACAATTCACGATTCCTCTTCTTAGTCATACAAATACATTAAGATATCCATAAATGATCAGTTGCGATATGGTTTCTCTAGAACATCTTAATTGTTTACCGTCAATTCAAAAATTGGTTTCGAATTTTTGGTTTCACTCAATTTGTGGTGATAATGAATTTAAGATCATAAACACAGATGTTGTATAACCATAAACCTCAGTGGTAATTGTTGAGATTCTCGAGGATTACATTTTTGAAAATGAAAATGATGGAGAAATAATAGAGGTGATTCCAAAGATAAAATGTACCTATGCTATATAAGACTAACCAAGCCCAATAACCGATTTTTTTTTATCCGTTAAATTTATCATATCATTAAATTTATCATACATTAAATTGATCATATACACGTTTGATCTTTGGTATTAAAGTAAACATTATACGTATCTTAGATGGTATTATGACATCTTGACCCAATAACCAAATATTTCTTTACCCGTTAACTTTGTCGTATCATTAAATTGAAGTAAGTTCGAATTTTAGATTCATAACTGACAATAATGACCACTGATATAATAATATAATATCTTGTTTTCTAAAGTATAATTTATCTTATCTTTATCAATTAAATATATTTTTCTAAAAAGTGAAATACAATCATGATGGTCATGAGTGTTACACCATCCAATAAAACATGTTCTAACGCCAAATTTTATATTATCATTTACCAATATCAAATCATGAATAAATGAAATTAAAAATATATATATTTGTATATTTTAAGTTGAGATAATAGCACTAAAGGTCACTAACTAACTAAAGGTCCTTTTAGTCTTTATGAGGTCTTCTTGACAGTACAAACTTGCATTCAACCGACTTTAATTGTATCCATTATTTTGTACACGTTTTAATGATATATTTGTACTCGTGTGACTTATACATACGACTCAAAAATGGTCCCAACATATGTAATTATGCAAAAACATATGGAAGATGTGACTTTACATTATCTTTCCATTTAACATGTTCGTTTTCAATTAATTTTTAATATCCATTTGACCCATAAATATAACATAATGCAAATTTCAGCCATCGATCATTAAATTGGTGAAGACATCTAATAATATAGTATATTATCATAAGATATAATCGAAAGTTATACCTTTCTAGAAGTTTAGATTCTTTCAAGTAACAATTTTATCGTATACCCGTTAAATAATAATATAATGATAATAATAATAATAAATTTTGAAAGAACATAATAGTAACTTTTACCTTTCTCTAATTAATAATAAACCGATTACAAAAAACTATGAATTCACGGATGAACAAACATGAACAGTTTTGTTATAAACCAGTAGCCTCGAACAACATCATCTTATTAAAATTAGACTCAATCTTCCTTCGAATAGCTTTCATGGAGAAATAAAAAAACAAATACAAAAAACCAGGCTCTTTCTCTTCTTTCCGAGGAAGAAGATGCAGGGGGATTTGATTCCGGCATAAAGGACACGTGGATCGCGATTGAAGCCATGTGTCGATGCAGTTCACATGGAAACAGTGACGGCATTTCGGCAGCCGCCGGGTAGCGTTGGCCTCCGTCTACGTCGTGAAGGCACACCGAACAGTATAGGGTTTTGGTGGCGGTGGTTGTGCTGTTGTTATGTTTAGCGGTGAAGATCGGAAATTGATGGCGGTGGTAGATGGTTTTGAGAATGCGGCGGAGGATGTGGACTGCGACGACGGCGATCAGAATCTTGGATTTGTTGGTGAGAATTAAGACGACAGCGCTGGATAATTTGGCGATAATGAGCTCGATTAGTTCGTCGTTCATGGCGACTTTTATCTCGATGATATAGATTGTAGATACTCTAAGTCTCTAACCACAGGAGTATTTGGCTTATGTGAACATGAGAACCATATATATACCACTGAAAAATCTAATTTACGCTTTAATTTTCGGATGTTTTAATTAATTTTTATTAGGTGTTAACAATAACAATTTATTTTATCGTATAAACATGTAAGGGTGTCTGGTTGTGTTAAAAATGATCCAAGTGAAATTAAATAAGTTAGTTGTAAAGACTTAGTAGGAGATAGTGATTTTATTTTATTGGTGGATTTTTATTATTTGATGAACTAATTGTAGGTTTATGGTTTACCAAAAAATCTGCATATCTTAAATAGGTTAATATTATAAGGGACTAATTCGTATATAATATTTTTATCTATACATAACAATTTATGTTTTATAGGTTTTTAATGTTGAACCTTAAAAAAACATAAATTTTTATGTTTTATAGAAAAAAAATTATATACAAATCACTCCCTATATCATAGTAAGTGATGAACCAATAATTTTGTTACACCATATTATATGTTCACAAAATATTAGAATAATAATGTTTTATTTTCAAGAAGTTACAATTATTTATTTTTTTATAAGATTTAAAAAAAGATAATGATACTTGTGAAAACACTAACGTTGGACTATTTGAAACGTTAGATTTTAACTGAAAGACTATTTGATAGCTAACTTTTATCTGAAAAACTATTTGGTAGTTAATATGTAGTTAATTTATAATTTATAGTGTTTGGTAAAAAATAGTTAATAAGCTAGATGGTTAATGGATAATGACATAAATGAGCATTTATATATAAAACTAAAAACTATCATTACCGCTTAAAATACTCGCAAATTATGAACAATCGACAAAGTCAAATGGATTCGACCCATTTGATTCATTGATCGCAAACCTCAAGAGAACCAAAACTGGATATGATTTGAAAGTGTTTTATTTCTTAATCTCTAGGCCGAACGTTCATACTTATGAGTGTCTAATATGTTGAGAATGTGCTAAAGTTGTTGAATCACATAGTTTGGTATGAGAATGTTAAGTTTAGCCATTGTTGATTGTTGGTGGAGGTTTGTATTTGCTAGTCAGATTTGAGCAGAAAGAGGAAAGTGCCATGATGTGAGTAGGAAGATGACACGATAAATTTGTAAATTACTAGGCATTTACAGAATTACCAAATTGAATTTCAACCCATTTTTTTCAACCAAACTACCAATCAATGGATTTTAACTCTTCTAAATTCAAAATCCATCGAATTCCATTTTTTTTTGCTATATTACTGAACCTTCAAAAAGAAACAGCGAACCAAATGACTTCTTAGTATTTTTTTGATATTTTCTATATCAAATTGTTCATTTTTACATTAGAAATTTTATTGTCACGAATGTTGTTGATCAATGCCGATGCCTAAGTCCTAACGTATGTTTGAGGTTTCAGATAAAACGAGTTCACTCAAACTCGCAATAACAGTGCTTTTAATCTTCAAAAAGAAATATGGTTAACTGATTACCCTGAAACAACTCACGTTTTATGACAATATTCAAATATATAAAGATAAACAAAAGCTCTTTTAAATCGACCCGATTCATTCAAGGTAGTCGTTTTACCTGTCACAACTCACAAACTATGTCCAATTCATCAAATTATCCACGTCTAGTCGTCGACTTAGGTGGGTTATTATTTTATTATTTATAAAATGGTAAAAAATGTAAGTAGGAATTAGATAAGACATAGGAGTACGTAGCGTTTTCTTTTCAAAGTCAGTCAGTAAGTTATGGGTTAGAAAAAGGGAAACGCTTACGTATCCACACGAGTGTGGGTCACCCAGTCATCCCCAACTCATTATTGAGGAATAAACGACAAGTGTTGTATACTCTAGAGTCTAGAAGCTTTATATATATTTTATTAATATAAATTATATTATATAATAATGTATCATAAATTAAAATATATTTTATTAAAACCAAGTTTATATATATTTTTAGGTTTATCACTAATAAACGTTCGATTAACTTTAGAATTTGACTTTTTAGAAACCATATTATTAATTTGGTAAACTTGTAACATACGATTTTAAATATAAATTAGGCACCCAAAAGTGATGTATACCCTACCATTTTACATTCCATTATCAAAACAAATCTGAAATTTCAGAATATAATTTTAAAATTACAATTTGACAAAAAAAGAAATATTACTTTTATGTACAATTTGTTTTTCTCTTCAAGATAAGAAAAAGGAAAAATGGTGTATAAATAATGAGAACCTTCCAAACAAAGATAAACAAATAAAACCCAATAAAATACTAGTAAATAAATCCAACTTCTTTCAATAGAATCTTGGTGCACAAATTTAAATTTGCCTTTGCTTTTCGAAGGAGGCAAATGAGTATGGTTGTCTAAAACGGTGGTAAAATGCGTATATGACTCAGCTTAAGCAACAAATCGAAAAAAATGTTTTTTTTTTTTTAATATCATGTAAGTTTATTTGAAGTTAATTTTGTCCAACCTTTTAAACATGTTATAAAATTAATATTTATATATAATTAGTATAAAAACTTTATTATTATAAATAACAAAAGAAAACCGCAAATTTGGTTTCAGTTAAAAAAAATGGGGTTCAAGTCCCTAAAGTTTCATTTTTTGTACAAAATACCCTTACAAACATGTTTCATTATGGTTTTATTTATCGTATTCAACTCCCTTTTAAGACAAAACGGCAAAAAAATGTCCATGTGGTATTCATTTTTTCTGAGGTTTAGTCTAAATTTTTTTTTTTTTTTTTTTTTTTTTTTTACTTTATGGTCATTTTAAGATGTAGTTTTGGTCGTTCGATAAACTGAAATGACTGTAATGTCCTTTCTGAGATATTTTTTTAATTTTTTTCTATTTAATTTAAATGATAAACAAACTAAATAATTAATTTGGGTCTCTCTCTCTCTCTCTCTCTCTCTCTCTCTCTCTCTCTCTCTCTCTCTCTCTCTCTCTCCAAAAAATGAAACACACCCAATTCCCTAACTTCTTCTTCATTCTTCCACCTTCATCCTTTTCTGTTTTTCTTTTTACATGCTTGACCTTGTTTCAACAAAGATAAATGCCAAAAGAAAATCAAGAGAAAAGATACCACTATAATCACTTCCCTTCTCCTGTTAAACTGCCATAGTTTGGGTTATAGATTGCAGGTGCAGTTTTAGAGGAGATGAAAATGGTGCAAAACCCGATTCCAATATTCCCACATATTCCCATCTCGTAATCGCTTTGAATCAATTCACATATATCTTGAATCACCATCACAAAAAGAACCCCTCACAACTAGCTACTGAAATCTGAATGATTTGCTCAACGATTGAGTCAGATTGATACTTGGAGATCAAGGAAAGAACAACACCGAGAGCGACGATTCCTTTGACTTGATCTGGCTGGAAAAGGCAAAGATGTCAGGTGACGTGTGTAACCTAAAGGGCGTAACAGAGGGGTGTTAGGACCTTTAGCGGTATGGACAACAAGCCATGGTGTATGCCGCCAAACGAGATATTTGTTGCAACCTACATGAACCTTGTTGTTGCCAAAGATGAGCTTGACGTTCCACATATCGGGTGTAACACCTGATTCAAGGTACTTTTCATTTTTGACACTTGGTGTGTAAATAGTTTGAAAATTTGGTCCTTATGGGGCATTTCTGCCATTTTCGGAAAACAGGGGTATGTTGGGCGTACGCACCTAGGGGACAAACCCTAATATTTAAAGTTTGAACCCTATTTAAGCAACATTATTATAACAACATAAATTTTCAAACCATTTTTTTTTTAAAATTTCAAAACACATTTATTCCAATAATAAACCAAAAAGTGTCATAAGGTCAAATCATCAAAACTCATGTCCAAAAAATGTATATAAAACTCCAGGATCCTCTCAATCATAACTCAGTCTTCAATGTGTGTACAATCAAACCGACGCCTTCCCGTGATCCTGAGAAGTACCCGAAACACATAACACATAACATGGTAACCACAAAGCTTAGTGAGTTCCCCAAAATACCACACATAGCTCATTAGACACTCTAGGCCATAACTCAACAAGACCCTCCTGTCAATGTGTCTTAGTGAGATCCTCCGACCCCAACTCAATAAGCTCATAAAAACAATATTCCGCATAAATTACAAATACATAATGCAAAATATCACAATACACATATAATCACATAAGACAGCTCAATCACGCAAAGATACCACTCTTGGTAAGTATAGTGAGAAGACTCACCTCGTAAGCTAGAAGGTAAAAGTCTCGTACTCGGGAATCTCGAACTAGCCTCCGCCTAACAAATTAGATAAGTATCTAAAATCAATACTCCATTCATACTCAAATACACCAAAGGTTGCTCTCTCATTCTCTCTAATTCTTGGAATATGTAAAAAACCATTTTACCCCTCCATGGTCTCCATTACTTATGTTGACCAAACCCTAAAGTCAACAGTAGTCAAACTCGAGTCAACAATCCCAGTTTGACCTTACTAGCCGAGTGCACTCATGTGACTCGTCGGGTCCAGTCGTCCCTCAGGAGTCTTCGTGAAGGTCTAACTCGCTGAGTTAACCCCTAACTCGCCGAGTTACAGCATAACCAGCTCATCAGGACAAACCCTAGCCGACTTGTCGAGTCGGCTCCTCGACTCTATGAGTCCATTCACACTCTCTTCTCATTCAGACGATTTCAAAGCAGAAAACATTCCCAAACTCTAGATCTACACTCTTAAGACTCGTTTATCACGTAAAGTCGAAGGCTTTACGTCCATGCATGACACTTAGGGCTTGAAAAGCCAAAACACACCATTGAAAAGGTTTTTCACTCAAGATCATTATTATGGCTGAATAAAGGAGAGAATTTTGAACTCTAGGGACCTCATATGGTCCAGATCTGAAGTCCAAACCTCTATATGAACTTAAAACACTCAAGGTCCTCATTTTAGATAGAAAAAGCCCTA